AAACCTGCCTTGTTTCTCCCTTCACTCCTTCCTCCTTTCTGACCTTCCCTCCTTTATTTCCTGGTTTTGTTCCAAAGGTGGGCTGAGTCAGGTGGCAGCAGACACTAAAAACTCTGAGCCACACTATCATTTTAACCAGAAAACCAGAAAAAAGGGCCCCTGTGAGCCAGAGAGTTATAGGCGATCCCCATTTTTCCCTCTCTTTTTTCTCCAGCCCTCCTGAGACCAGCACTAGTTGCAGGACAGAACTGCAATCACTATGAAATCTATAATGAAGAACTTCATATCACTGTGAAGTAATATGCTCCTATATGCCTGTGGTAATGTTCCAGGCTCCTAAAACCCTGAGAATTTGGATACAGGAATTAGAAAAAGAGCAAAAAAGGCATCCTGTTATGCAAAGAATAAGGGATGGAAATTCTGCAATTTTTATTTCCCTTGATTCTCTCGAAATTTCATACTGAGGTACCACAGTCACACAGAATTACATGACAGCACAAGGGAGAGAATCCAAATTTTATGGCCAGAGGAACCAGGGGTCTCTGACAGAGAATGTGGGATAAATTCCAAAGATCAAAAAGCTAAACTAACACAAGTCTCAATCCCACTTCCTAGCTGCATGCATAGAACACAGCCAAAGAAGCATAGCAAAGGATTTGGGAAATAAATACCACCATACAAGTCCCAGACTAACCTCTGAGTGCCTTAGACAAAGGGCAGACACAAAGAGCACAGCAAAACCTTTGCTACCAAACTAAAACTGCATACAAAAGAGGAGATAGAATTTTGCCTGTGAAAACAAATGAGCAACAACAACAACAAAACATTCTAACAGGATTCTAAATTCTAACATTTTAACAGGATCTAGAGTTTCACAACATAATGTTCAAAATGTCCAGGATACAATACAAAATGATTTAAAATAAAAAAATATGATGAATTTTCAAGGGAAAAAACAGTAAACAGATAGAAACCCCAAGATGATATAGATGTTGGAATTTTTAGGCAAAATTTTACAGTAACAATTATAACCATCTTCCTTGAGGTAAAGCTGAACATTTTTTAAATATATTTTTATTTTTAATTATTATGGGTAAATAATAGACATGATAGTTGTATATCTTTATAGGGTACAAGTGACATTTTGATACAGGCATACAATGTGAATTAATGAAATCAGGATCATTGGGGTATCCATCACCTCAGGCATATAACATTTCTTTGTGTTAGAATATTTCCAATTCTATTCTTTTAATTATTTTAAAGTATAACCTAACTTATTGTTGTTTATTGTCACTTTATTGTGCTAACAAATATTGTTGCTTGTATCTAACTATCTAACTATATTTTTGCACCCATTAACCATCCCCATTTTATCCCCTTTCCTCTCTATCCTTCCCAGCCTCTGGTCACTGTCATTCCACTCTCTGTCTACCTGAGATCAATTGTTTTTAGCTCCCACATATGAGTAAAAACATTTATCTTTCTGTGCTTGGTTTTTTCTACTTAGCACAATGTTATCCAGTTCCATCCATATTGTTGCAAATGGCAAGATTTAATTCTTTTTTGTGGCTATATAATATTCCATTGTGTATATGTACCACAATTTCTTTATCCATTCATCCATTGATGGACATTTATGTTAATTGCTGATCTTGGCTATTGTGAATACTGTTACAATAAACATGGGAGTGCAGATATCTTTTTGATATACTGAATTCTACTCTCATGGGCCTAATGACATCCTCAAAGGCCCCACCTCCTAATACCATCATATCGAACATTAGTATTTCAGCATATAAATTTTTTTGGGGGGAGGACATAAACATTCAGACCATAGCATACTATATGAGTAAAAACTTTAAGCACTCTTAAAACATGTAAAAGTAGACTTGAAACTTGAGCACATACACATCACATGTCTATATAATTACCAATAAGTTTTGTTTTCTGGAGTTAATTTTAAGTCAAATCAATTTTAAAATTTATGTAGACAACAAAAGCAAGATTATATAGAAATATCCTGTAAAAGAAGGGCAAAAAGGGGTTTAGTAGTTTGCTAGAACTACCATCACAAAGTACCACAAACTGGGAGGTTTAAACAATAGTTATTTATTGTCTCACAGTTGTGGAGGCTAAAAACCCCAAATCAAGGTGTCAGCAGGGTTGGTTCCTTCTGAGGGCTGTGAAGGAAGGGTCTGTCCCAGGCCTCTCCTTGGCTTGCTGATGGCCATTTTCTCCCCATGTCTCTTCACACACATCTTTCTCTATGCACGTCTGTTTCCAAAAGGACAAACGTCATATTGGATTAGAGTCCATGCTAATGACTCCACTTAATGTAATACCCCTGCAAAACCACTATATCCAAATAAGGTCACGTTTTCTGAGGTACTAAGGATAAGGACTTCAACATATTAATTTTGGGGAGCCATAATTCAAATCATAACAAGAGGGAACTAGCATTTCCAAATATTAAAATATACCAAATGCCCGGGTGATGCTGATATGAATAGACAGACATATGCAACAGAATAGCAAGTACAGAAATAGTCCCAAGTACATAAGCAAATTTAGTGTATGATAAAGATGGCATTTAAAATCACAAACGAAACAATGATCTTTTAAATAAATGATATTGTAATAACTGATAGCCATCTGGAGAAAGATAAAATCATATTTATATCTTTCTTACATTATATACTATAATAAACTACAAAAGGATCTAAATGTAAAAACCAAAACCATACAAATATTAAAGGAAAACATAGTGAATTATTTTATAAAGTGTGAAGAAAGCATTTTTAACTCTTTCTTAAAAAAACAAAACAAAAAAACAAACACAAAGACTAATTAACTCAACTACATAAAATTTTATAAAACGTACTTAGCAAAAAAGCACCTTAAGCAAAGTCAAAAGACAAATGATAGACTAGAAGAAAATTAATGCATGTGTATTACAGTTTGGTTAACTTCCTAAACATATAAAATGCTATTAAAAATCAGTGGGGAAAAAGGACCAAAATGAATAGAAAATGAGTTTTGAGAAACACACACACACACACACAAATAGATCCAGAAAAAAAGTTAAAATAATTCAAAATATATGAAAAGGAAGCTCAATCTCAGTCATGCTAAAAAGTGCTAATAAAAATTGTAGTGACATATCATTTTCTACCTCTCATATTGGCAAAGATTTAAATGCTTGACTACTCATTCTGTTGATGAGGTGCTCATGCATTGCTGGTGGGAGTGCAAAATGAATATCCATGGTGTATGTCTACAAAGCCATGAAAACTCTCGAGGAGATTGGTACCAGATGCCATAGTGCTGGTTGCCCCACACTGAACTTCAGAGCCTAACATATATGGCTGCTGTTTCCCTTCTGTCTTCCAAATCTCATGCAAAATGTTTTTTGTGGCCAATACTGATCTGGATCTATAAGGTCTGAAGATTCTAAGAGTGGTAATTTGAGCCTAACTAAGTCAACACAGTGCAAGACCACAGATGGTAAACTGAGCCTCTGAAGGTTTTAGTTATTTATACAGGGCCCCCTGCAAGTGAGTTGTATGTTATTTGATTTTAAAGCTGGCACTTTTTTTTTTTTGACACATTATGCTTAAATTTTTACCGAGCTTTGGCTGTATATAGGTGGGAAAAAATACCTGTAAATGGAGACACTTGTTTTTTTTGTACAATCATATATATGCTTAGCGTAATATTAAATACGTATGCTGTTCTTGGTTCCATGCCACCTTTGTAGATAGACACATAGCAAAATAGTTAAGCTATGTGGTTGGAAATGCTGTCCATGAGAATGATGGGGAGCCAGCTGCTGCTCTGACAGCAGAGAAACCTGGTGTTATCTTTGCTCTTGTTCCTGGAGCCATTGAGATGCATCTAGTGGAATAATCCCTGAGCAGTGTTGGCACAAGGAAGCCACTTATGGAGCTACCTACTGGTTCTTTTGTGTTTGTGTGGACAGGATTCCCAGATGACAACAGCATACCTGTGAATTAGCTATACTATAGAGACACTGGTAACTGTTTTGAAACTGAATATTTTTATAAGCAAGATGAATGGACAAACTGCTAATAAAGGGTACAGTCAGAGACAGCTTCATGGGAATGTAGTCTGTATAGTCATGTGAAATGTCACATGCAGCAGTGTCCTGTGCTTGGTTTAATGCTCTGTTTTCACTGTCATAAAATTCTTAATAATATGTATTATTAAACTTGTTCGAACTTTGATTTTCTTTCAAGTGAAATCTACCGGGGGAAATGGAACATGTGCATAAGCAAAGGAGATAAATGGAAAAAATGCAAAAGCTTTATATTTTAATAGATTTAATGATACTTTTTCCTGGTTTTTGAACAAAGGGCCCTGCAAATAATGCAGCCAGTCTAGAGTCCAGAGGTAATGTGAAACTAGCCCCCTCCAAAATGGATAAAATAGATATTTGATGTATGTGTTAAAACCCACGTCAAGCCAGGTGTGGTGGTGCACTCGTGTGGTCCCAGCTACTGGGAAGGCAAAGGCATTAGGATTGCTTGAGCCCAGGAGTTGTGGGCTGTAGTGCACTATGCTGACTGGGCGTCCACACTAGGTTTGGCACATGGTGACCTCCTGGAATAGGAACTACCAGGTTGCCTAAGGAGGGTGAACTGGCCTAGCTTAGAAACAGAGCAGCAAGTCAGAACCCCCTGCTGATCAGTACTGGGAGGAAGCCTGTGAACAGCCACTGCACTCTAGCCTGGGCAATATAGAAAGACTTCATCTCTAAAAAAAAAAAAAAAAAATTAAGTAAAAAATAAAATTTTTTAAAAGCCCACATCAATAGAAGTCAATAGTGAAAGACCATGTTGTTATGAAGTAGTAAATTCTTTTAATCACTTTAGAAAAATTAGCAAAATGGGTTGTCCATAGTATTGAACTACAGAATAATACATCATAGACTTATTAAAGAAAACCACGATATTTGATATGGAGCACTAACTTTTGGAAATTATAATCCTGGAGACAAACATCACTTGTGTCATACTGACCGTACGGTGGAATAATGGAATAGATGGATGTGGCTTCAAATAAAAAACAATGATTACAATGCCTTGGAATTTGGAATCTGGAGACTCCCAGCTTGTCGTTTGTGGCCATGGGATGAAGCAGGGAGGTCAGGCAAGTGTATCTGGAAGACGGCATATGGATCTGAGAACTAAAAAAAAGTGGCAGCTGGGGTACCCCCAGGAAAGGCAAACGGAGCAGATGGGCATGTGACAGTAGAGGAGGATGCACAGAGAAATGGGCAGCCAGACTGCTGGCTGGCCTGGGCCCAGGACGTGTGGGAGTCACAAATTGGATAGCATACCCCAAGCGAGAGAGAGAACATTCCCTTTCACCAACAGGTTCAGAGGGAAAAGAGTAAAGCATAAGAGGTTTTGGGGGGAAAGAAAACACCAAATATATTCATAAACAGGCAAAAATTATACAATGAATTACATCTAAATAAACTGCTCCAAAAATTGGGGGTATAATATAGTCATATCTCTTTAATGTTAAATGAATTATTAAATCTCCAAAGTGTCTGTTATCAAGACATTTAGCATCACCTTCTTGAGGTATTTTCCATTCACTCCACACACCAATCATCCAGTAACTCCCAGGCATATTCATTCTGAAAGCTTCAGGCTTCAGTGCTGCTTCTAGCCACAGAGAGCCAGGGCCAGAGAGCGAGTGTGGTATACAACTCCGCTGCTTATTCCTGCTGGTCTGTGATGTTTGTTTGAGACTGGCTTGGTGGAGCTCCAGAGTCTTGCCCGTTGTTGCAGGGAAGTTCTTGCTGGTTCAAGGCCATCTTCAAAGTCAGAGTGGTGCCCCACATTGGGAGACAAGGTGTCTCTTTTAAATTAGCTTTCCCTTATTTAGTCTTTGTTCTTCATAGCCTACTCATTGTGAAAGGGTCAGGAGGCATCTTTTAGACCAAGTCAGAAAAAATCCTCACACAAAGCTTGAGGACCAACTTAAGTATGTTACTTTAGCGATCTATTTTTCCCAAAAAAATTTCATTTCAAAGGTTTCTTGCTCATCACCCTGAGGCCTACTTGAAATGCTGTGATGGTCCACACAGCTGAGTTTCCCAAATTTATATCTCAGGGAACAGGTTTTGGGGGATCACGGTTTACTTTTCCCCCAGAAGGCCCTGGATTCTCCTCCCCAGTAACCAACTTTTGCATACCGGGACTTTTGTGGGGGTAGCATTGATCAAAGTTAAAAAATTCAATTGCTTCTTTTTCCATGCCCACCACAAATGAGTCTATTTTCCCTGCTCTTATATAAGTGAAAGAGACCCTCAGTGGTTCTTCATGGAAAAAAATAGCTGTTGACTTTCTGTCTTACCTCTCAGAGTTACCAGAAGCAAGAGTAACTTCCTTTATTAAAATATGTGTGTGTGTCTCTAATGTATCTGCCATAACAGGTACTCTATTTTGCACAAATGATTCACTATACATAGAGGTGATTAAAGAATAGTGTGTGTGTATGTATTTGTAGTTTTTTAGAGTGGTTGTTTCATTCATTCGACAAAAAGTTATAGATCACTTCCTATGTTACAACACTTAGGATGTAGATAACATACATAGCCCCAGGCCTAGAGGCTCAAGTGGAAGAAATGGATAAGTAAATAGATCATTTAAAAACAACATAGTAAATGTCTATGCTAGCTAATGAGTACAGTGTCGTGCAATTATTAAAAGGTTGTATTAGTTAGGCCTTTTTCCTTATTGCAAAGACAGAAGTGCCCTGAGACTGTCTTAAGTCATGTGGAGTTTATTAAAAGGGTCCATGTGGAAAAAAGAAAAACAAAAATGGAACTCGTTCATTGCAGCCTGTTGGAATCCAGGAAATTCTACCAAACCAGGCCCCACAAAAATAATTGGAATTTTATTCGGTAGGGCTGAGTTTCATGGACTTCAGAAATGCAGAAGATTATTCAGGATCCAATCAATTTTATCAATTGCTCCACTAAGTAATTTTTTTTTTCCATTCTTTCTCTTACTTGCTACTGCTGTTTACATTTTCATTTACCTCCTTTCTGATTCATAGCTTGTGTTTCTTATTACTTTCTCCTGGTTTCCGTTACTCACAGCTTCTGCCTTTTGCCTTCTCTTGCCAGATATTTGTTCTATTGCCTTCTTTCTGTGTAGCTGTCTTTTTCTGTTCTGTTTACTGACAGACCAACTCTCTCTCTCTTCTAAATTTAAAACTTCCTGAATTTATATTCCATTTATCCTCATTGTCATTGTTAGGCAAAACTCCTGGGCCTGCCCCTCATTTCCTACTGTCCAGTCTACAGACTGGTTGCTCTCCTCTTCCACACCCTCATCACCTGGCCAGACTCACACAGGACATAACATGACCACTAAGGTGTCTGACTATTCCCTGCAACAAAGGGTTGTAGGCAGGGTTCAAAGGGCCTGTGGACGTGACAGGCACTTGATGACTAGGTCTGCCCAGGACAAAGGTGAATGTCAATATTTATAATAATTTATGAAATACTTATAAGAACATTCAAGTTACTAATCACAAAGTTTTGTTGAAAATACAGTACACAGTTATACAGAGGGCATAAAGATATCTTTATAAGGTGGTGCCTAAACGCTTTTAAGCTTCTATCTTGCAGATTACAAGCTTTCAACTTGGAGCTGGAGAGGATTTGTTTCATGTGAGTGGCTTTATATGAGTTCTAGTGTTATAATTTTTGGTTATTGAGATTCACTCTTCTACTGTCTAGTTTTATGTGTATACCACACATAAAATGTGTAATTGCATGTTTTGTGAGCCTATCAGATATTAATATTTAAGCACAACTATTACAACATGCTAAATTGATAGTCACAATTGTAGTAGTACATTTACAAGAAACATTTTTGTAATTACCTTATTTAGTAAAGCAAAATAATTAATAATTGAGTGTTCTCCAAGTCAAATTTTTTTCATTCTGCATTTTTATTTTCCTAATAATCTTGGATCGTTTGAAGCATCTGATAACTGAGTACTACTTTGTAATTCATATTTACTGTCCCATTTGTCCTGAATAAAGGTCAGATGACAATCAAAATGAATGTGTGAACGTGGTTCCTTGGTTGGAATAGAAAAATGTGATGGTAGAATAGATAGATCCATGATGAAAATACAGACTTACCAACTTCACAAGAACCTCTTTGGTTAATCAGTGTTATACAATATTCACTTTGTAAACAAATGGTTTTAAAGAATCCTATCATGTATATTCCATTTTGTAATATTTCATTAGCAGAAAATTTGCAATGATAAATAGTTCTATTTCCAATTCTAGCACTAATTGGATTATATACCCATTTAATGCATATTTCAATAGTGCCAATACTCACATTATTTCTAAGTGAAGAAGAAAATTTATACAATTATCAAGTGACTCCACTTCAAAACTGGCACTCAAGAATCATTCACTAGCTGAGATTTAGTTAAGCATAGAGCCTGATTATATTTAATTAGCAAACAAAGGCTTGAAGTTATTAATACCACTTCGTACTATATACTTATGAGAACAGACATTTTCTAGATTTGTGTTATTGAAATCAAAATCCCAAAACAAATTAATTATAAAACCAGATATGACTCTGCATCTTCCTACTGTTAAATTCAGGACTGGATGATTTTACTTAAGCCAAATGCCATCATGCGTCACATCGAAATAATGTTATTAACATGGATTTTATCTTCTTTTTAATTTTTTTTTTTTTGAGACAGAGTCTCACTCTCTTGCCCAGGCTAGAGTGCCATGGCATCAGCTCACAGCAACCTCAAACTCCTGGGCCCAAGCAATTTGCCTCAGACTCCCGTGTAGCTGGGACTACAGGCATGTGCCACCATGCCAGGCTACTTTTTCTGTATATTTTTAGTTGGCCAACTAATTTCTTTCTATTTTTAGTAGAGACAGGATCTTGTTCTTGCTCAGGCTGGTTTCAAACTCCTGACCTTGAGCGATCTGCCCACCTCAGCCTCCCAGAGTGCTAGGATTACAGATGTGAGCCACTGCGCCTGGCTCTTCTTTTTAATTTGTACTTGAATTTTTATTTAAACTTGTACAGGCCTATAAGATCAAGACATTAATACATAGTTTTATATTTTTACTTATTTAAATAGCATCATAAAAATAATTTGACACTGGATTTTCATAAAATGTTTCTTTACTTAAAAGGGATCGATCCTTCCACATATTCCTCAAGTTTGAGAAACAACAGCTAACTATCTAAAAGATGGGAGATTTATTCATGTTTAATTCCAAAGCAGAGAGTTACTTCTCAAAAAATAAACAAACAAACAAACCCCAAAACAGTCAGAAGAGGGCAAAAAAGAAAACCTAGATACTTGCGAGAGATTTGGGAGTGGAAGCAATATACATAAAATTCAATAGGGTGAAGGATAGGTGAAGGGCGCCATGGATAAACAGGAGATGGTGCTTAGTGTAAAAGGCCAGCCTATGTGGCTGTCAGGAAAATTTTCTGGGAAGGAGTCAGAGAGAGGGAGGTGAGAATATTTTCTCACCTGCAAAGCAGATCCAGAAGACTGAAACTTGTAACTTTGTGGGGGGTTATCCTTAAGGAAAAGAAGAGAAAATTATGAACACAAGGTTCCACTCAAAAGTAAATTCTCACTTAGAATGAGAAAAAAAAATTAGAATTTTTTTTTTAATTCAGCACAATTCACAATTGCAAAGATGTGGAAACAACCCAAGTGCCCATCAATACATGAGTGGATTAATAAAATGTGGTATATGTATACCATGGAGTACTGTTCAACTACAAAAAACAATGGTGAACTAGCACCTTTTTTATTATCCTGGATAGAGCTTGAGCCCATCCTTCAAAGTGAGGTATCACGAGGATGGAAAAGCAAGCACGACATACACTCACCATCAAATTGGTACCAAATTAGAAATTTTTAACAACTGACAAATAACAGACATCACAAAATCTAGAAAAGGAGCCTGGACTTGATTCTGGCTCCACACTTTCAAAACTTGGTTTTTTCCCCACGACCCACAAACTTCTGCTGTTGGGCATTGTGAGATATATTCCATCACAATACAGACCTCTGGCCTTGCCTATTGTGTCACAGTGCTCATTAAAATGGACTACTGGGCAATAAGAATATCCCTGGAAGCCATTCCTATACCTGGTTGCATGGCAATAATTTATACATTAGAGTAGCCATGTGCCACATAAATACATCCCACTCAACCTAAACTAAATGCATCCTTAACCCTGCTTAACTTGAGCTGGATCCTCAGAATGTCTGTGGTCACTCAAATGACACTTGTATGAGGGGAAGTATGATGGATGAATAGTCAAAATGGGAAGAAACAGAGGTCTCAGGAGACTGAACTGAAAATACATTATTTACAAAAATTTTACAAGAAATATAGGACTGTATGAATGCATGACTATGGCTTCTTTCAGGACCATGAAAAATGCCTGTACAAGTGGGTCATTGAAGTTTAAGCTTCATTAGCATCATGGCAAATCTGCCCCTGCAGACAAATGAGAGAAAATGAGTGTAAGGTCTAAAGAGACTAAAAAGAAATTTAATTACCGTAATTACTCTTTGGTAATTTCTCAGGAGACAATAAGATTTCACTTGCTTCTAATTATATTTTTACATCCAACTGGTGTTTCTTTGCATGTGAGTCCATAAGACTGGATTATGAGTAGCCCCAGAAACACACAGGTTACAAGGTAATTAGATAATATTAATAGTAAACAGATGGCTGATTTGGGTAGGTGGTTAAAGACGGAATAGTTTTCAAAAAAGCTGTGAAAACTTGAATTTGCACATGGTCATCAGAAAAAAATCTGGCCCAAGGAAAAATTAATTGCTATTGTCAGAAATGGGGCAATTCTCTATCTCTATCTATCTATCTATCTATCTATCTATCTATCTATCTATCTATCCATCCATCCATCTATCTATTCTCTATCTCTATCTCCACATTCCCTTCAAAATTAAGCGTATTCAAGTGCTGGTCAGACATTAATTGACATAATGGCTTAGCAAAGAAAAAGTAGTGTGAATGTTTTTCTTTTATTGCTGAGCTTGCTTAAAAGATATTAAAAGTAAAACTTTTGAGGATTTTCTATCAAATCTAACTCCTATGAACTAAAAATAAAATCCTAAGCTCCCTGCTATTGAACAGACCTGTCTCGGCCAAGGGAGACCCCAGAGAAACCTTAAAACTGAGTTCACAGCCATGAAAGGATGGGAGGTATAAAGCAGAATTCCACGTGTGCACGTTTTCTCTTTTCATGAATATGCATGACTCCTCCTATAGCTTGTAAAATATGTACATTTAGCCACCCTACTCAGTATAAAATCCTTTCCCTTTGTCCCTCCCTTGAAGCACTTGTTCCTGGCTTGTGGCCAGGAGCCCTGTTTCCCAGCTTGCTGGAATGCCCACTGCAGGCTGAAACTAAATGAAGAATAAAGGTCTCCTTTTTCCAAATAATAAACCTCATTTTTTTTTATTAGTTAACACTACCAAAGCTGCCTTACATTTTAATATGAGAAAACACTTCTCTGAAATGACAATGAATCTAGAAATATGCATGTGGATATGTTTACATATTGATGAAAGTAATTTTAAAAATCAAAATTTGGTAAGGTCTCTTTTCTAGAAATAGCATTGGCTTTCTATTTGGCACAATTCTTAAATTGTCACCTAGCGAAAGCCTACCTCTAAGTGGTGCTAAAAATGAATCTATATTACTAAAGTCACTTGGTCTATTAATATTTGATTAAGCACGTCACAGAGAAAAATAAAAAACAACAACCCAAGTTTTAAATGAATAAAACTTTTATTTCAAAATTAAATGAAAATACTAATGATCTATAAAAATTTTAATGTTTCTTCTTTCCCCAGGGCTAAACCTAACCAATAGTATTTTTTTTAAAACATAGATTTATTCATGTTTTTGAAATGAGAAGCATCTTTTTCATAGGAAAGCTGTATTTGATTTTATTTTGTTTTTTGGGGACAGGGTCTCACTCTGTTGGCCAGGCTGGAAAAGCTATATTTTAATATAAAGATGAAGCATTATATATTCAGTTATTCTGCAGAGAATTAGAATCTTTTTTAAAAACATGGATTTCATTGGCTGTCTTCATTATACACAATACAAAAGGAACAATGGAGTGTAATTAAAACAAGGATATTGGGCCTTTTCTTATTTAGAAATATCAGTTTCTCATTAACTACACAAAAATTGAAATGGCATTGTTTTTATCTATTGTTAAAACATATAGAGTCTGTAAAATATTAAATATGCCCTCTTTGTCTTTACCAGGAGTCCTGTTGTCCTGGGCCTTACTCCCATTTGAACAAGTTTTTCCTCTTCTGCTGAGTATCTTCCATTAGCCTCTCCAGATGCACTTGCCACCCTTCACTCTGCTCTGTGCCCCAGGAGGCTGATCATTATGCTTTACATCAGATAGAATCCTTTGCCTCTGGTTTCCTGCTAAATTCATTGAAAAGGAGAAACAAGATAATTAAGCCCTGGCTCTCTCCTTAGGGGACTGTGGGTTGGCAATGCTTTGCTAGGAAGCTCTTTCCTAAGTAGGTCTTCTTGACCTATTCTAGATTGTAGAAACTTCTGAGAAAGGGAATATCTTTTCAGGGGTGGTAATGGCTTCCTGTTTGACAACCCTACTTACTCACATCTTTGTAAATAGTCCAGTCATTAAACTCTGTTCAATCACCCCTTTTAGACTTACTACTATCTGTTCTTTGCTAGAATCCTGACTGAAGTACCACTTCCCTTTTATCTGACTACCTCATTTCTTCAGTTTAAGTTGTCAAGAACATGATCTGATGGTCAAACCCAATTGATTTACTAAGTAAGAGTAGCCCATGCTTTTTTTTATTTATCTTAGAAACAATTTCAAATCTGAGTCACATCTAACAAAACCACCTTTGACCTTATCCTCTATTTTTTTTTTTTTTTCATTTTCCTTCCCTCTTTGGTCAAGCTTCCTCAAAGTATAGTTTACATTTGTGACCTTTACTGTCCTAGTTCTCTGCCATTCCTTAATCCAATGCAAACTATCTACTTCCTAACCAAGTCACTGAAATTGTTCTAGAAAAATCATTAGTGGCTCCCATATTGCCATAACTAGTGGGCACTTACTAGTCAGTCCTCTTACTGCATTTGACATTGACAACTACACACCAGTTTTAATAGTTATCTTCTCCCTTTGTTTCTATGACATATCCTAATTATATTTTCTAACCACTCTTTTCCTTATGTTTGCTCCTTAAAGTTTACAGTTTTTTAGGATTATCTATTTAGTAGCCTATTATTGTCACTTCTACCTGTTTCACTGGGAATTTTCTGCATTTCCATTGCTTAAACTTTCACTTAGTACAGATGACTCAAAAAGTCATATATCTGTGGCAAGTGTCTTGGCTGAGTTTCCTGACTATACTTTCTATGAACTAGAGCTGTCCATGTCCCTTAGGTACCTCAAATTCAAGATACCAAATCAAACCCACTACCTTGCTTCCTTCAATTGAAGGTACCATTGGTTGTAAGATACACCATCATTTTATAAACTATTTTTATAAAAGATGCCAACTATGGTGGTAAGATGTTATTGATTTTAAGATGCAATAGAGATGTTGAAATTTAAAGGAAAATGTACATTTTAGAATCTACAAATTAAGTATATTACTCTGTCATTCCTCACCACCAAACTGCTCTTCCTCATATGTTCCCTATCTTAATTAACAATACTGTGATTCTCCACATCTCTCAATTCAAAGTCCTAAAAGGCATCTCTAATGTAAACCTGGCTGGGCTATAGTACTCCTTATTCAAACACTGACTAGATGTTGCTGTAAAGGTATTTTGTAGATGAGATAAATATCTGCAGTTAGTTGACTAAATTTGACTCTTGAACAACAGGGGGGTTAGAGGTGCTGAATTCCCGCCATGCAGTAAAAAATCCACCTATAACTTTTGACTCTCCAAAAGCTTAGCTATTAATAGCCTACTCTTGACTGAAAGCCTTACTGATAACAAAAATAGTCAATTAACACATATTTTGTTTGTTACATGTATTACATACTGACTCTTAAAATAGAGAAAAGAAAATATTATTAAGAAAATCATAAAGAAGAGAAAATATACTTACTATTCATTAAATGGAAGTGGGTCACCATAAAAGTCTTTTTCCCCATTGCTGTCAGATTGAGTAGGCTGAGAGGAAGAGTTGGCTTTGCTGTCTCAGAGGTGGCAGGAAAGCAGAAGAAAAATCGATGTATAAGTGGACCTGTGCAGTTCAAACCTGCCTTGTTCAAGGGTCAACTGTAAATGAATTTGTTCTTGATGGTCTAGATTGGTCTGATTCAATCAGTTGAAGGACCTTAAGAGCAGAATTGAGGTTTTCCTCAGAAAGAAGAAATTCTACCTGTGGACTGTCAATGTCAGTTCCTCCCTGACAGTGTCCAGCCTGCCCTTCCTAATGGCTTGCTCTAGGGGTTTCAAACATGCCTACCCAGCCCGCACAATTGCATAAGCCAATCCCTCATTTTCTCTTCTCCCCTTCTGGTTCATTTTCTCTGGTGAGACCCTGACAGTATCCTACCTTCTTCCTCTCTTTCTTTCACCCTTCACAACTAGACTCCATGTCTTGAAACTTAATCTTTGTTACCATCTCATAAATTTATCTTCTCCTTTCATATTGACAGCCTCTGTTTAGCTTTCATCGTCTCTTGCCTACACTGTAGCAACAGCGTCTCAACTGACATAAATTCCTGCTTCAATTCTTCCCACCTCCTCCAACTCAGCATTCAGTATATCCTAAAAGGACTTTTCTAAAATGCAAGTCTGACTATTTCTCTTCTAGGCTTTTAAAATACTTCACTAGTTCTCATTGCCAACAAAATGATGCCTAAGTTTCTTAGTGGGGCACATACATCCATATATGATCTGTTCTCTATTGGCTCATTCCTGTCACTTCCACACTGATTG